CTGTAGAGCACTACCTCGAGCGCATACTCGAGCAGCGCAGTACCCGAGGTGGAGGGGTGGAATACTTCGTGAAATGGACCGGGTACGCAGATAGCGAGGGAACATGGGAGACGGAGGAGAACCTACACGGCACCGATGTACTCGCCACCTGGCACGCACTGCCCGCGGAAGAACGGACAACACGGGGCACGCGGGTGAGGGGTGCAGCCCAAAACAGCAGCCGTAGGGCGCGGGCATGCAAGTAGCCAGACTTAGAGAGGAATGTACGATAAAAGGCTTTCTAGCGCCCGCTATTCGAACTATACACAAAAGAAAAACACTGTTCGTTTCTGCAAACCCGCGAAGCTGTGATTCTGTTGCAATATGGGACTCGAACCCATATCCTCCCGATCTTTAGTCGGGCGCGCTGCCCTTGCGCCAATTGCTTAATCACCAAACTTTGACTCTTACGCCCCAACTCATTGCTCGGCATGCATTGGTGTCAGGGAGCAGAACAAGACCCCGCCGCGCTCTCATATTGCCCATCTTGGCGTGAGTTCCACTAGCGGCCAACGGTTCGGGGGTTCCCTCACATAGATCAATTCCCTCGAACGTCACGAGCGCACCCATGCACCGCCTACTGCTGGAGGGTTGAGCTGGGACTTGGTATTCCCGGGTTACGGCTGTGGTTGTGGATGGCGAGAGAGGGTTGTCATCTGACGCGACAACGGCCTGCTGCGGACTAACGATAATGAATATGACTCGCCGGGGGTTCGCGGCATACCCTACGACGATGTTCTCGTCGGCCACGACGTCAAGTTGGATGCCGTCAGCGACGCGGACCTTGATGCGCATCGTTAAGTTGGCTTGCGCGAGGGTTGTGTGCACGGTCGAAGGCATGGTCACGAGGTAGGTGTATTTGTGTGTGTGTATCTGTGTGTGCGTCTCTGTGTGTGTGTGTGTGTGTGTTGCGTGCGTACGTGCGTGCGTGCAGCCAAGGATGTGCGCGGGGCAACAAGGACGGGAGAGCCTCTCGCCTTAAATAGGGGGACTGTCAAGGGACGCGCGCGCCACACTGCGCCACCTCGAGCTGACAACAAATACGGCCCCTCAACGTGACGCGACGCGCATCGCCCACGTGACCTGACAGGTCGCGCTTTCGATACTACGCAGCCACAGCCCGCTGCTACGCTGTCACGCCCCGTCTACTCATCGACACGAGCTGAATCGACACAGCGACTCCCCGTCCCCCTCACGGCCATTTTCCGCTACTTCACGGCGATTCCCCGCTGCTTCCCTGCTACGACCCGGGCCCGGAAACAAACACGGGGCCCCTAGGCATCCCGCGTAGGTGCCATGTGGGAGGGTCCCGGGTGGCTATGCGTTCTGGAGGAGTTTGCATGAAACCGAGGCCGGGGGTTGCCTTAGATGGGGCGAAGGAGGACGCTGAGCATATCTCGCGGCCTCCAGGGCTTAGGTGATGTGCCGCGCAGGGCTCACCGTGTAAAGCCTCGGCCCACCGTGTGTGTGCGCGCCGATGGGGCCCGCCATGTGTGCGGGTCGTGCGTGAGGGTCTCACG